GCCCCCCCCCCCGCTTCTTTGAAGCAGTTTCTTCCTGTGCTGGTGGAGGAGCGAGAGAGCGACTGAGAGAGCTGACCCAGAGAGAAGGACAGGCTTCGGTTGCTTCCTCCCTCCCCTTCTTTCATTTGTGTCCTTGATCCCCGATCCCAGCAGCATTCACCGAAGGCTTCTTAACATTATATCGGCGTATAACACGCATACATCATTTGCCCCCTATTTTCAGGGGGAAAAAAGTGCGTGTTATACGCCGATAAATACGGTAATTTCAGTAGAATATTCATTTTTATAATCTATTCTTCCTGCCATTGATAATTGCAAATTTTTCCATTTCTCCAATTGGCAATTTATGATGCAACAACTAGATTGTATGGACTTTAGAGAGAAATTTATAAACATGATCAAGACAATATACTATAGACCAGTGGTGGTGAACCTTTTTGGCACTGAGTGCCGAAATGAGAATGCGTGCATGCGCTTGCACCAGAAACTGGAAAAGCAGCTTCCCGGTGCATGCATGTGCACTGACCACCTGATCTTCCAGTTTCTAACACGCATGTGCGCACAAAGACCATCTGGTCCATGCGCGCATGCATGGCAGGGAGCTGCTCTTCTAGTTTCTGGCACTCCCACACGCATGCGAAGATCAGTTGGCTGGTGCACATGCGCATGCGGACCCAGTTGGCCGGTGTGTGTGCATGTGCTGGAACCCGGAAGAGCAACAGACGATGGCTGGTGTGCCCAGAGAGATTTGCATGCCACTTCTGCACGCATGCCATAGGTTTGCCATCATGGCTATAGACAAACAGCAAGAGTAGCAATAGCAAACAGCATTAATCAATGGGGACTTTATAGAGAATTTTAGTATAAAAAAAGGCACAAGAGAAGGATGACCATTATCCCCATTTATATTAACATTGGAAGTGTTAAACAGGAATATTAGACAAGGTATGGAAATAAAAAAAGAAAGAAAAATATAAATTACAAGCATTTGTGGATGATTTGATATTTATCCTAGAAGAACCATTGGAAACCGCCCCAAATTAATGACAAGAATAGTATGGGGAAGTAGTAGGATTAAAAGTAAACAAAGAAAAAACCAAAATAAGAGTTTAAAAAACTTACAAACAAAAAAAATGAACTGACAAAAAAGACGGACCTTCAGATAGTCAAGAAAGTTAAATACTTGGGAATACACTTAAAAGCAAGATGTGCAACGATAAAAAAAATATAACTGTAGAAGGCTACTACACCAAATAAAATTGGACTTGGAAAAATGGGAAACATTTTATTTTCTGATTGTTAGACTTTGTTTTCTCTTTCCTTTTTGGTTCAGCAAAAAAGAAGTAGTAACACCAGTTTAATATAAAGGCACAACTATTCTCAGGGCCACTGGCAGATAAGATGCTCTGGATTCAACTGATATAAGGTCATACTTGCTCCATCTCTACTACAGGTGAAACCCGAAAAATTAAAATATCGTTCAAAAGTTCATTTCAGCAATGCAACTTAAAAGGTGAAACTAATATATGAGATACCCTCATTACATGCAAAGCAAGATACTTCAAGCGTGATTTGTCATAATTGTGATGATTATGGCTTACAGCTCATGAAAACCCCAAATCCACAATCTCAGAAAATTAGAATATTATATGCAATCAATAAAACAAGGATTGTACATAGAACAATATCGGATCTCTGAAAAGTATAAGCATGCATATGTACTCAGTACTTGGTTTGGGCCCCTTTTGCAGCAATTACTGCCTCAATGCGGCATGGCATGGAAGCTATCAGCCTGTGGCACTGCTGAGGTGTTATGGAAGACCAGGATGCTTCAATAGTGGCCTTCAGCTCTTCTGCATTGTTTGGTCTCATGTCTCTCATTTTTCTCTTGGCAATGCCCCATAGATTCTCTATGGGGTTCAAGTCAGGCGAGTTTGCTGGCCAATCAAGCACAGTAATCCCACGGCCATTGAACCAGGTTTTGGTGCTTTTGGCAGTGTGGGTAGGTGCCAAGTCCTGCTGGAAAATGAAGTCAGCATCCCCATAAAGCTCGTCTGCGGAAGGAAGCATGAAGTGCTCCAAAAGCTGGTAGACCGCTGCGTTGACCGTGGACTTAATGAAGCACAGTGGACCAACACCAGCAGATGACATGGCTCCCCAAATTAACACAGACTGTGGAAACTTCACTCTGGACTTCAAGCATCTTGCAGTGTGTGCCTCTCCATTCTTCCTCCAGACTCTAGGTCCTTGGTTTCCAAATGAGATGCAAAAGTTGCTCTCATCAGAAAAGAGGACTTTGGACCACTGAGCAACAGACCAGTTCTGTTTTTCTTTAGCCTAGGTAAGACACTTCTGACGTTTGTTGTTCAGGAGCAGCTTGATAAGAGGAATACGACATGTCCAGGATCCATCTGTATGTGGTAGCTCTTGATGCACTGACTCCAGCCTCAGTCCACTCCTTGTGAAAGTCCCCAATACTTTTGAATGGCCTTTTCCTGACAATCCTCTCCAGACTGCGGTCATCCCTGCTGCTTGTGCACCTTTTTCTTCCACACTTTTCCCTTCCACATAACTTTCTAGTAATGTGCTTTGATACAGCACTTTGGGAACACCCAACTTCTTTTGCAATTATCTTTTGAGGCTTTCCCTCCTTATGGAGGGTGTCAATGATGGTTTTCTGCACAACTGTCAGGTCAGCAGTCTTTCTCATGATGGTGATTCCTACTGAACCAGACTGAGAGACCATTTAAAGGCTCAGGAACCCTTTGCAGGTGTTATAGCTTAATTAGCTGATTAGAGTGGGACACTTTGAGCCTAGAATATTAAACCTTTTCACAATATTCTAATTTTCTGAGATTATGGATTTGGGGTTTTCATGAGCTGTAAGCCATAATCATCTCAATTATGACACATGGCTTGAACTATCTTGCTTTGCATGTAATGAGTCTCTCATATATTAGTTTCACCTTTTAAGTTGCATTACTAAAATAAATTAACTTTTGCACAATATTCTAATTTTTCGAGTTTCACCTGTATGATAGTTTTTGAGGTTGACTATTCTAAGATTAGGAAATATTTTCACTACATCAGAAGAAGGAGAATAAATATACAGTTAGTCCTCTATTAATGACTGGCCTGATTGGTGACCATTCAATGTTATGACAGCATTGAAAAAGTTACCTTATGACTAGTCCTCAAGCTTTATTAAAATAATACACCTTTTAAATTTGATAACTTTAATTGCTGCAGGTATATTATATCTTACCAGACAATAATATAATCTGGCCCATAAAAAATCCATCCATTGTTTTACTACTAATGCTGAATTTATTTTTAATAAATTATGGTATGGTTTTGTTTGCTTCTTGGAATATTTTTAATAACTACCATTATTCAAAAATGTTATGTGTATTAAATAAATTGGGCTTTTCTTGTAACCATTGATTTATAGTCTATAAGATATCAAGAAAGAAAAACTGCAATGACAGAAATTAGTATAATGGACCACAAAAAATATAAATAAAATGAATTCTTTTTGTGAAAAAAATGGCTACTAAGCAACTGTTTTGAGTTTTGAGGGGTAAAAAAACATTTCGTATCCAAATATTTTAATCAATAGTTTTAAAGAGTTATAAGTGTTAAATTAATCACATAAATGAAAAAAAAATACTGAATTTATTTTTATTATAAACAATACAAGCAACTATTTATGTCAGTAATTTGGATGGAAGCAGTGCATAAATATCCTAGATCTGATATTTGACAATATCAGTCAAAGTGATAAATGTAACTGTCTTTTTTAGGTGGCACAGTAATATTAAAGTGAAGAAGTTGCAATGGGGAATCAGCTGGCTGGCATTGCCCCCTCTCAGATACTTTCTGTTGACAGCTATTTCTCAGACATCCATGATTTTGAATATGACAAAAGATTGGGCAGCACTCGTTTTTTTAAAGTTGCCCGAGCTAAGCATCGAGAAGGCTTAGTGGTTGTCAAGGTGTTTGCCATTCAGGATCCAACTTTACCATTAACTAGTTACAAGCAGGAGTTGGAGGAACTGAAAATACGGTTGCATTCTGCCCAAAATTGTCTCCCTTTTCAGAAAGCGACATTATCTGAAAAAGCAGCCATGTTGTTCAGGCAGTATGTGAGAGATAATCTTTACGATCGAATTAGTACCCGACCATTCCTAAACAACATTGAAAAGAGATGGATTGCTTTCCAGATCTTGACTGCAGTAGATCAAGCACACAGGTCTGGAGTCCGGCATGGAGACATCAAAACTGAAAATGTGATGGTGACTAGCTGGAACTGGGTCCTTTTAACAGATTTTGCAAGCTTTAAACCAACCTACCTCCCTGAAGACAACCCTGCTGATTTCAATTATTTCTTTGATACTTCAAGAAGAAGAACATGTTATATTGCTCCAGAGCGTTTTGTTGATGGCAGTATGTTTGCCACAGAATTGGAGAATATACGAGATCCTTCCACTCCCTTGGTTGATTTGGTCAACAGTAATCAACACAGCAGAGGGGAATTGAGACGTGCAATGGATATATTTTCCGCAGGTATTTCAAACTGATCAAATAGTTAAAGATAATCTGTGCTTTGCTTTCATAGACAATGAGTAGTAAACACTTCAATTTTTAAAATTAGTATTGAAAAGTATGCTCTGATTTCTGGAAGAAGCCTGGTAAGCTTCTGTGCAAATTTGGGTTCAACTGTTACCCTAAATCAGTGTTTCTCAAACTTGGTAACTTTAAGATGTATGGACTTCAACTCCCAGAAGACCCAGCACACAATACCAGAATTTTGGGGATTTGTTCTCTAAAGCAGGGGTGCCAAACCTGGAAACAGCGAAGAACTGGCCTATGGTGTCTCTGCCAGCACAGCCCTCCCGGGTTCCGTTTTTGGCCACGACAGCTTCCTGTAACCATCTGCCAGGGAAAATGAAACTCAGACAGACTGCATGTGGCCTCCCCGAGCTCCATTTTCACTGGCAGAGGGCTGCAGGAGGCCGCCACATCTGGCTGTAGCAGCCGAAAATGGAGCCTCGATAAGTGATGTTGAGCTGGCCACGTCCACCCTGACTACACCCCCCTGCCCCCCCCAGGTCAAAAAACCTTGATTCAGCCCTCAATGAAATTGAGTTTGACACCCCTGCACTAAAGCAATGTTTCTCAATCATGGCAGCTTGAACCCATGCTGGCGGTGGAATTGTGAGAACTGAAGTCCATATATCTTAAAGTTGTGAAGCTTGAGAAACACTCTTGTCCATCCTGTGATTAATACAATTTATTTCACAAATAATGTCAAATATACATGTCCCAGGATAATGTTGTAGGATCCAGTCTGGGTCAATTAACAAGACTAGAGGTTTAGTCTTTCAGCTTTCATTCTTGTGCTGGAGCCCATCCTCAGGCAACTTCTCTCTAGCAGAGTTTTCTATATAGATTCTCAAGTCACCCTTCCTTTCCCCACCATCCAGTCAGAGCTGAAAAAGCTTCTTGGATGAGAAGCAAAACGTCTTCAAAAAAAACCCGGAACGTCCAGTTGCCTCTTTAAAAAAAAGAGCACCTTTGGGACTCTAGCAGAATGTGTGCTTTGGGCTATTCTAGGTGTAGTATTTATGTGGTGCCTGGTTGTGGGTGAATTTTTATTTGTTGATTTTGGGTGTTGATGGCTGACTATTAAGTTGTTGGCTATTGTTTCTTTGTGCTGCCAAGTCCTTGTCTCTTAAGGACTTGATAAGCTAGTGATAAATCAGCACTCTTGTTGATTGACTTGCAGATCTCAGAAGCTGCACTCTACTGCTTCCGAAATGATTAATATATTTATTAGAAGATGCCTGTACAGCATGCAAGGGAGAAAAAAGAAGAAAGAAGATACAAGACTAACTATATAACACATCCTGCCATACATCAAAAACATTTCGGAAGTAATAGAATGTAGTTTCTGAAATCTGCAAGTGGACATTGGACATTGCCCAGAGACTACTATATGAGGATAAATCATGCATTGCAAAGATCGCTTGGAGGTGGAGAAACTTCTAATGTAATCTACTGAATCCCGAGCATGGATTGCCCTATGACTACGTAGGATAACCATCAGATTGCAAGAACACAAGCGAGTGGTCAGATAAGCCCTGAACTCATTGGTAGCCTCATATTGCAATGAACAAGGACATACATTCAATTTCACAGTTACTAAAATTGTTGGCTGAGTAAGGTACAAAGATAATCAGGGAAAAGATTGAAGCCTGGAAAAAGTGCCCCTTGTCAGTCAACAGGATTTACCACCAGCTTATTAGATACTTAGGAGCCGACTTGGCAGCACAACAGAACAATAGCCAATGACTTAATAGCTGGCTATTAACACCCCGATCAACAAATAAAAAGCCACACACAACAAGACACCACGTAAATACTGTGCATAGAATAGCCAAAAACACACATTTTGGAAGAGAGTTCCGTGAGGATAGGCTCCAGCACGAGTCTGAAAGCTTGAAAGACTAAACCGCTGATCCTGGCTACGTACCCAGATTGGATCCTGCAAAAATGCATTTAGTTCATTTTCTTAAAGCTTCATTAGGAATAATAAAGCTAGGTTTGTTTTTTTGGGGTGAATGTGATACACTACTTCAAAATATACACAGAAGAATACCTGGAAGTTCTTAGCTGTGTTTTAAAAAGTGCTACACATAGAAAGCAGTTAAATATGAAATACCAAGCTTTGCTTTCTCCATAATTCTAATATTCGGCAAGTAGTCAGTTTTGACACAGAGGGGAGGCAAATAGTTGTGGATTTGTGGCCATCTGTGTTTTGAAATCATACTGTCTCAGGGAAGCTTATTCCTGTAGAGTTGTAAAATATGCTGAATACAACTAGTGTCTGTATAATTGCATGCTAGGAAAATAGAAAAAGATGCTTCAAATGAATGGCAATTCAAACATAATATTTTTTGACAATTACAAGTGGGGCTTGCTTTATAGTTGGTTCTGAATATGCAGGACATTCAGACTTCAGCAGCCTGGTTACAGAGAAAGATAACTGGTGGTTCATGTATTAGACTTGATGACAGCATTGACTGTCAATTGAGGCCAAGTTCTGAATTAGTATTCTAACATATCAACCTCTAAATAAATAGGGCAAAATATGTGTCAACATGCCTTTATCATTATAGAGATAAATATGTAACAACATGATAGGAGATTCTGCTATATATTGAAACTTGCTTAGTGCCATTTAGTAATTGCTTATCAGAGTAGTTGCTTGTCGTCTTTGTGGTGAAGTTCCTTGGCTGTAGAAAGCTTTTTCTCAAAATTTGGAAGTCCCCTATTATAACACATTTGGGGCACTTCTTGTAATTCATGGTCCCCGTTTTTTAGTTTTAATTTTGTTTAAACATTGCTTATTTTATATTTTATTTTTATTGTAAGTGACTGAAGTATTTATATTATTTAAAACATTTATATAGCTGCCCACCTTTTAGCCAACTCTGAAAGATTTAAGAGATTTAACATATAAAATCATTTTAAAAACTGAAATACAACCAGTTAAAATATAAAACATTTAAAAGAAGAGAAACCTGGAATTAACCCATGTTAATGTAGCATCATCTAATCTCCCAACACTTAAGAGAAAATTCAAATCTTCAAGGCCTTAAAGCTAAAAGGATGAAAAGCAGTCAAACTTTAAGGGCACAGTGTTCCATAGGGTAGGGGCTGCCATGGAAAAAGCACACTTCCTAACTTTTATTGGATGACAATATTTGGGGAAAAGAACCAAGAGTGTGCCTACTTGTCTGACCTGGTAGGACAGATAGCTCTCCTTAAGGAAAAGTGGTCCTCAGGTAGCCTGGCCTTGTGCCATGTAGGGCTTTAAAGGTGATAACCAGCATCTTGAATTACACTCAGAAAGAAAATGGAAGTCAGTGCAGCTGGCACAACAGGAGTGTTATATGGGCAAACTTAGGACCCCCATTATTATGTGCATCACTGCATTCCAGACTTGCTGAAGTTTCCAGATGGTCTTTAAGAGCAGCACCATGTATAGCATGTGGCAGTAATCCAGATGGGAGATGATCAAGGCATGGATAACCCCAGAAAGCAGTAAATATAATAATTTTTTAAAAATTAATAAATTCACTTAATTCATTTCCTGAGATCATACAGCTTCCCTTTGCAATTGCTCCATGGTTCCAAGAGAAACAATGACTGTTTTAAAAAGTTGTAGATGGTGTTTCAAATTGAATCTTCAATATTGCACAATATTGCCCTGCTTACTATCTATATGAAGACTACTTGTCTCTGTGTGGATTTCAATCTTATGTGGAAGATTGATATTCTAACTAACCCTAAGTAGCTGAGAAATAAACTTAAAAATCATTTTGATGAAATAGAATATTATAATAATAAAACAGAACATTTAAAGGATATTTTTCTATTATATTTTCATCAGATTTTATATTAGATAGCTTGTGCAGTTTGTTTATCTGTATGAATTAGTTTGCAACTTTCAAGATTCAGTGTGGCATCACAAAAGGCTAAGGAGCTTTTTACATTGCTTGTAAGCAAGTCTTTGCTTTGTACTTTGTGCAAAGTAAATCTTTGCTTACTTGTACTTAAAATAATTGTTGTATGTAGTTGCAAAATCCTACATCAAATAAAAAAATGTAAAAGCATTATCTTTAGGTTTTGAACAAGCCAAATTGTATAATTAATCGTTTTCTGTTACTATATTTGATTACTCTTTTTTCAGTTGGTGAAAAATATTTCCAGTGAAGGAGATGGGTTCATCTATGCTCCTGATATCATCAGTTGACTAAATTATTTTAATGCAGGAATATGATGTTTTCATGTATATAGTTTGTCAAAATGATGCTCCAAGAATAATTGAGACAGGATTGGAAGTGTAGTGTACCTGTTTTTAATTGTAAAAAAATCATGACAAGTATTTGATCATTGTACTTCTGATGCTTAGCAACAACACTTCTGAATGTTACATACCTTGCCCATATATTCAAGGTCCAATCTAGCTTTAAAGTGAGATTCCAAATATTTTTAAATTATCTTGCTGCAGCCAGCTATTGAGAAATCTATTATCAGAGGCTGCATGTACTTGTCTATCAAGTTAAAAAGCCAAATCTTGTAATTTGTTTTGAGCCACCAGTTTTAATAGCCATAGAAAGAGAATCAAAACAGTTTTTGTTTGTTCTGGTGATTTTTGTCTGGATTTCTTAGGATACCAGAAAAAAAAAACCCAATATGACTAATACTTTTTTTCTCACTTCAACAAGATAAGGTCTGTTTCTTTTAAAAATTACAATAGAGGCAGTCACCTTGATAGCTTCTAGGTATTTTGGACAAAACTCCACTATCTATCTTGCTATTGGCCATGTTGCTTTAGGATTAGTAGAAACTGAATTCTTTACTCCAAGTTTAATTTTCCATAAACCTCACTGCCTCCTCTTTCCTAGCTGCATGATGCAAGCTAATACTGTATAATTAGGCTATTAAACACATGAGAATATATTAAGGAGGCAGATCCTTTTGTTGTTTACATAGTCTCAGAGAAATGTGAGTTTACATTGATGGGTAGATCCGTGTGATCTCATTGCAGCTATGTTATATATGTGAAGGAGTAAGCATGCTTTGAGAGTTCTCTCATATTTTTAACAAATGAACACAAATTAATAGAGCATATGGGTTTCATCCAATCAGGATCTTGACATGCAAATATGGAATGTTTTTTCATGTTAAACAATAGCCAAGTATGTGATATTTTTATTAGCAATCTAGAGCAGATATTTCCAAAGCAGATGATTTTAGATAAGCTTGTAATAAAAAAATAAAAAATTTGCATATTTATAGGGTTAAAGAGTGCTAATATAGTATATTGTAGATATACAAGATCTAGTAGTTAGAAAACATAACTGATTTAATTATGATCCTGGAAGCCAATACATGCACTTTATAAATGTTAAGTATAAATAAATAAATAATTCATAATTGTCTGGTCCTTATTTTCTTTTCCCCCCCCAGGTTGTGTAATAGCTGAGCTGTTTACAGAAGGTGTACCTCTCTTTGATTTGTCACAGCTTTTGGCATATAGAAATGGCCTCTTTTCCCCTGAACAGGTCTTGAGTAAAATTGAAGATCAAAGTATTAGAGAATTGGTAAATAATTCTACTCCCTTTATGGTAGCTTACTGTAGTTTTTTCTACTTATTTAGCAGCATTCTTTCTGAATCCTCCCCCTTCATTCTGCAATCTTGCCTTTTTTTCTGAAGGTTATTCAAATGATCCAGTGTGAGCCTGAAAAGCGTTTAGCGGCTGAAGATTACTTGAAGCAACAACGTAACAATGCATTTCCTGAAATATTCTACACTTTCCTTCAGCCATATATGGCACAATTTGCCAAGGAAACCTTTGTATCTGCTGATGAGCGCATCCTTGTTATCCGTAAAGACCTGGAAAATATAATCCACAATCTCTGTGGGCATGATCAAACAGAAAAGGCTGAGAGAGAGACAAAGGAAAATGGATTAGTCATCTTGGTTTCAGTAATAACTTCATGCCTGCAAACCTTGAAATACTGTGATTCAAAATTGGCTGCCTTGGAGTTGATTCTTCAGTTGACACCTAAGTTAAGTGTAGAAATCCTACTGGATCGTATCACCCCTTATCTCTTGCATTTCAGCAATGACATTGTGCCCAGAGTGAGGGCAGAAGCTGTTAGGACTCTCACTAAAGTTCTGACTTTGGTTAAAGAAGTTCCACGGAATGATACCAATATCTATCCAGAGTACATCTTGCCAGGTATTGCTCACCTGGCCCAAGATGAAGCAACTATTGTCAGACTAGCTTATGCTGGTAAGAAGTGAGTGCGGGCTGGGAGATAAGATGAAAAATTAGTATGACTCATTTATTCATCTGTTATTTGTTTTTCCTGTAAAATAATAAAGATGGCAGCTAATTATATGTAAGTGTAACTTAGATACTGAATTTTATTTCTTTATATCAGATATTGTTATTAAAAATTAATATTGATAATTGGACACAACTTTCATAGCAAGAATGTTTCTTGATTTTATGTAATATTCAATACCATTTATATAGGTATCTCTATATAATCAAGTTGGTGGATGCACTAAAACATTACGATAAAGTTCCAGGCTCTCATTCAGAATGTCTCTCAAGGATATGTATGAAGTCATACAATTCCTCCCTAGTGGTTGTGGTTAGTCTCAACCCCTATTTACAATAGGGTTTGTATAAGAAGGCTCTCTGCTACCTATATTGCCCAGTAGTATATTTCCATTAGCAGCTAATTTTTTAGACAAAACAAATAAGCTATTTATATTCCTTAAGAATGCTTATCTGGGACAAGGGGCACTCTTAATAATAAATATGATACTACAAATTAGCCTTTTTCTTGTAGCCTGGAGAGGGAGTCTGGATAATTAAAATTACCTGTGGAAATATTGGTGTCCATATTCAGTACACTACTAACTTTTTCCTGAAGTATAGATTGTCATGTTTGCATGATTGACAAAAATGTTTAGTTCATTCTTCAGTTTTCTCTGGGTGGTCAACCAATCATCATTCAGTTTTTAGGTGAATAAGCCGAATTATATACATTTAAAGAGAAGCATTTTTGCAAGTTACCTTAAAAATATACATTTTGAATGAAAGTTATTTTACAGTTATGTGAAAAAGTCCTGCACACTTTATGGTTTATGACATTTTTTGGATAGGCCATTGATTTTATGATATTTTATGCTAACTGCTATGCAAATATTGTTATATTTAAATAAATACTGGTGGTTTTTAAGTGAAAAGCATAAGCTTTTTGTAATTTGGTGCTGTTTGGATGGGGATTGTGAATTTTCTTGCATGCTTATAATGGCTATGAAAACATGATGCATACCCAGTGGCATATGTACTGCAATTACTAAGGCCGATGCTAGTGTTTTTATTGTTTGTGGCCCTGAAAAGGACCGTTTAGGTAACCAAACATGGTTACTAATATGAAATTGGCCAGCCCTTATTGCTTATCACCAGGCGGCATCGCTTTGACATAGACTGTACAGTATACCAAGTGGACCAACAAACAGTGGGCCAAGGTGACAATTTCTACTTGACTGGGAATCAGTGCAATAAGATTTCCAGCTGAAGAATTTAGGCCGTACTGCCTGAATCTATCTGAAGCATCCATTGCACGTGATGATCGTTGTATCACTGCTTCTGCTATTGGTCGGATACAAATCGTGCAGGGAATCATGAATTCCAAGCGGTATGTTGAAGTCCTGGAAAAGACCATTCTTCTTTCAGCTTAGCAACTTGTAGGGAAGGACTTTTACTTCCAGGATGACAACGCTCCTTGTCATTGAGCCAAGTCCATCCAACAATGGATGAAGAAGCATGGTGTTCGACTCCTGGATTGGCCAGCTCAGAGCCGGGATTTGAACCCAATTGAGAACTTGTGGGCCAAGATTGGTTATGAAATAAGCAAGAAGCATCCAAAGACCAGGCAGAAGCTGATTGAATCCATTATTGCAGCCTGGCATCACATTGTCACCAAAGATCACGTGCAAAGGCTTATACAGTCTATGCTGAAGCTAAAAATAGGATTGGCCTTAGTAATTGCAACACGTATTCCACTGGGTATGCATTAGTTAATCTGTTTTCATAGTCATTGTAAGCATGCATTGTAAGTATGCAAGAAAATTCACAACTCCCATCCAAACAGCACCAAATTGCAAAAAAACGTATGCTTTTCACTTAAAAACCAGCACTATTTATTTAAATATAACAATATCTGCATAGCAGTTAGCATAAAATATTATAAAATAAATGTCATAAACTGTCAACTGTAAAGCATGCAGGACTTTTTCATACAGCTGTAGAATGTTTGGAAAGCTTTGGTGAGACTTCTATGAGTAAGATTAATATAGTTTCAGTTATATTTATTCTGTGACACTTTGCTTTTTCTTTTAATCTTTGTAGAAAACATAGCATTGTTGGCTGAAACTGCTCTGAGATTTTTGGAGCTAGTCCAGTTGAAAACTCTGAACATGGAAAACGAACCAAACAGTGAAGAAACAGATGATACACCACATCCTAGTGAAAATTATGATACTGGTAATTTATTTCTTAAGTGTGTGATGTATACAATGAACCTGATGACATTTCCAGATAAACATCTATAGGAAAGGATTTCTGTTTTTCATGTTCTTTGAACATAACCTTTCCCATCCTAGAACTTTCAAGATATGCTGGCTTGGAACTATGGAAATTGGAGTTCCCTATATCTGGCAGAATATTTCTGATTCCAAAAAGATACTAAGACTTCCCATTTTTTGGAAATTATGCTATTTTTTCATAATCTACAGCATTTAAGTAACAGAGTAATAGTGAGGTAGTGTTATTAATAATCCACTCAGTAGGATTGCATCTTAATGTTCCTTTGTGAAATCACAGTTTATCTCAGAAAATAAATACCCCTATCTTAAGTTCGTCAACCTTCTGCTTATAAATTTTCAAATTCTACATGAATCTCATGTACAGTATATGGATTTATATACACAAGCAAGACTTTCTGCATGTCATGTTAGAAAGAAATTAACATGCAGTTATTTTAATAATGAAGTACGCTACTGGCAATTTTGAACAAGCTTACAGCCTTTTAAACTGTAAGCCTACATAATTGATATTATTATCTAATGCAAGATAAAACATGACTGCTAACTTGGAAGGGTTTCTGAATTGAATGGAAGTTACTTCACTAGTTGGAGGGTAATTGCTCTCTCAAGTTTCTCTCTTAAAGTTCTTTTTAAACTACTTTCCATTATTCACCTTTCCTCACCTGATACCCTATAGATCAGTGGTGGCTAACCTTTTTCGGCTCCCGTGCTGATAATTGCACGCACGCTCACTTGCGCGCTCATGTCCCAGCACCCAGAAGGCAATATGTGCTGCCCCCCCACGCCCCTTCCGCATGTGTACATGACCACCCCCTCGTGCACTGCGCGTCTGCACATGTGCATGCGATTCCCCCTCACGCACCATGCATCTGTGCATGCGTGTAGGATTCCCCATGTGTGCTGCGTGTCTGTGCATGTGTGCATGACTCCCTCATCGCGTGCTGTGCATCTGCACATGTGCGTGCTTTTCTCCCTCACATGCAGCACATCTGTGCGTACGTGCGCTATCCCCTCATGCATAGCATATCCATGTGCAGGCGTGCACGTCTCCTACACACTCCCTCCACCCCCTGCGCATGTGCACCAGATACCTGATATTCATTCAACTGTCAGGCAGCGGCACGCATGCATGCACAGTGGGGTTCTTCCAGGTGACCTCTCGCGTGCTGGGGGGAATGGCTCTGCATGCCACTTCCGGCACACAGGGCATAGGTTCGCCAACACGGCTATAGATTCTTTGGAGACTGACTCCTTGAATTCCAGGGTATGATTTTGGGCACTTTTTCATGATTTCCAGAAGATGTAAATAGTTGCTTTCCAGATATTCTTAGAATGCCCCAAAATGAGCTGATAAGTTTTAACTATGTCCCAACCAATAACATGTTTTTCTGAGACTCTTCAAAGGTTGAAAAGCTGAACTGTAACGCCCAACCTTTTAGAAGTTTCCTATCTCTTCTGTAATCAAATTATTTTAAGGTGACAGCAGTGTAGGAACTGTGTATGTTGCAGCTCAGACTGTGCTGAGAGCAAAATAATCAAGTGACTTGATCTTGGGTTTTTAATGTCCTGATAGCCAAATGTTATGAAGTATTACTATAGCTCAAGTTCAAAATGTGTTTTTGAACACATTTCATATTCAAATTTCCCCTTAGCTTTGAAGTTCCGTTCCCTCTTCGATTTATCATATGATACAGTTTTAAGAGAGTTGGGTTGTAGATTTGACTCTACTACATTTTTTCTCTTAAAATCTAGTATGTTGCATTTATCACTCATAGTGTCATGCCATAATTTACTGAAATACATAATTATGTTTTCATAAATATTAACAATTCAGCAGAGATAAAAAAGAAATTACTGAATAAAAATAATATATTTCATTGAATGATGACAAACTTATATTCATTTTATCTGTTTCTGTGTTACTCTTACAGAGCTTCAGGCCTTGCATGAAATGGTTCAGCAAAAAGTGGTCACTTTATTAAGTGATCCAGAAAATATTGTTAAACAGACTTTAATGGAGAATGGGATCACTCGTCTTTGTGTTTTTTTTGGACGACAAAAAGCCAATGATGTACTTCTCTCTCATATGATCACTTTTCTTAATGATAAGAATGACTGGCATTTACGGGGAGCATTTTTTGACAGCATTGTGGGTAAGTACTTAGCAACAAAAATAATACTTCCACTATATTATAGAAACAATTTTATATATAAATAAATCCCTTTAATGTGAACAGATACAGACTTAAGTCAGGTAAATCAACTTGTATTTATGTACCAGTAGTCAATAAGCTCTCTCACAAGATGACCAATCAGATGCACCCTGAATATTGTACAGGTAGTACTCAGGTTACAATGTTAGTTGGAACTGGGATTGCTCCACTAAGCAATGCAGTCATGAAGCAGAACATAGTGTGACCATATCACTTAGCAATGACTGTCAAAACATCACCCCTTGAGTCATTAAATCATTAAGCAGCAAGAGGTGATTATCCTGAAAAGGAATATGGGGGTGCCATGGGTCAGTCAGAGAGGCATGACAATATGCTATAGAGGGGAGTACTGCAAGATCTTGGTACTCTGTACCAAAGCACCTAGGAAGAAAAAGAACAGGGGCAACCTATAAAAGTGATTTTCAACCTTCCCTTCTGGCTTTCCCATCTTATGGGAATTTAGTTGGGAAGGTCTCAAATGGTGATCATATGACTATGGCTTACCACAGTGTCAAAATCATGAGCCAAACACTTGAAACATGATCGCACAACATCAGGGATACTTTGATAGCTATAATTTTATAGTTGCAAATTAGTTGGTGCCATTGTAATTTTTTAAAATAATTTTTTATTTTATTCCAAAGTTAAAATACAGACTTAAAGAAGGAAATAAAAACAAAGCAAAATAACTAAAGACAAAAACAAAAAAATGTGCATAAAAGAAAAAAAAACATAAATTGTCCCCCCCAGTTGAATACTGATGAATATTTCAACAATAATAGTTTCCTCCCCTTGCAAAATAGATTTACAATTTATAAAATTGGACAGCTCTATTTACTCAAGTAATTTGACCTATCATCTTATTTACTGCAAAAAGAGTTAGCAGTTAAACCTAACATCAAAGTGTCATTTATAATTTTGGTCATTGAACAAACAATCTTAAGTTGAGAAATCAGGAATGATGTAAACATATAGCTATGATTCATTCCATGTTGTCTGCCTTCAGCATATGATAATCAGAAATATATTATATTTAGCATTAATGATTAGTCCTTCATCTTATCCTTAAAGTTAATGCCATTGTTAGGGAAGCCATATTCCTTCAGATATTGCTAAATTACATTCATAGTCCTAGCCAGTAATGAAGGATGCTGAGAATTGAAACTTAGTTAGATGTGAATGGTCATGGGCTTCCCATTCCTGATGTTTTCCATTAAGCACTAAAACAGCGTTAACAAATTCTGAAAAAGATGATGAGAAATCTACAGAAAACAGCTCCTGTTCTTAAAATGGCATTCAGTTTCATTCTTTTTCAAAATCGGGTAAGTTGTTTTGCAATATATGTTGAATTTAGTTTATAAATTATTTAGTTTTTAGGAGTTATAATTTGTATTTTTTAAAATCTACCTGGATTTTAGGTGTGGCTGCTTATGTTGGCTGGCAAAGCTCTTCCATTCTAAAACCTTTGCTTCAGCAAGGACTCAGTGATATTGAAGAATTTGTAATATATAAAGCTCTCAATGCCCTTACCTGTATGTGCCAATTAGGGCTTCTTCAGAAACCTCATATATATGAGTTTGTGTGTGATATTGGTAAGTCAGCTCCCTCTCCCCCCCTCCAGTTTCAAAAATCTTTATATGGCATGTAATTTAATCACTAGTATATAGTCATTCTCCCTAATTTAATATTACCCACGTGGTTCCCAGAATATGCAATCTTCATAGTTTTTGGCTAGAATTCTTGCAATTGTTGTCTGAACATATCTAGAGAGTATCAAGTTAGGAAAGATTCTACTAGATCAGTGATGGCGAACCTATGGCACGCGTACCACAGGTGGCACGCAGAGCCTTCTCTGCGGGCACGCCAGCCATCGCCCAGCCTAATTCCACTGTGCATACGCGCGCCTCCCACTGGCCAGCTGTTCTTTGGGTCTCTGCCACGCATGTGCGGGGGTGGCGCAGTAACCGATCTCAGCAGTTTCCCCGTCAGCGCCCCGTACCTTTCTCCTCCCAGCGTGCCATTGCTTTCTCCTGAATTCCTTCCACCCATTCCTTCCCTGATCTCCATTGGTTCCACCCTCCGCAGGTGCCTCTCTGTGGCAGGAATGGAGGAGAAAGCCTGGGCAGGCAGGGAGAAACTGCAGGGATTGGGGAAGGCAGGAACAGAGGAGAAAGCCTGGGCGTTGAGGTGAAGGAGGAATCATTATTTTCTGTCCCATTTGGTCCTGAAAAGCCTTGTGCACCAACCTGGAAGCCAAAATGGGGGCTGGGGTCGGGGCGCATGTGTGGGGGGTCACATGCGCCGAGGTGCTTGCATTGCATTTTGGGGATTGGGGCATGCATGTGTACATTTGTTTGCACGCTTTGGGTACTTGGCACCAAAAAGGTTAACCATCACTGTACTAGATTAAAATGGCTTTATCTAATTATCAGTTGACATAATTTATTAAATTATCCTACTCATTCAAATGTAATGGAATTCTTTCAAAATAACTTTGATTAGTCATTGATAGCATTTTACATTCATAAAATTAAAAAGTTCCTGCACAATCCTATTGTTTCCACCTCTTTACTTACCCATAGTATAGAAAAAGGCAAAAAACTGCATCATGTTTTTTCATGGTAGTGCTAAGAACCATCCATTTGGAATCATCCCCAAATCCATCATCAGTAGATGTAGCCATAAAATCCTTTCTATTTCCCTAATTGAAAGTAATTGAACTATCTGGTAGAATATTAAGTTATGACTTTTGCAATGAATGATAGCAGGGGTCCTCAAACTATGGTCCCCAGGATGTATCCAGCCCTCAGAAGCAATTAATCCAGGCCACGGGGCAGTGCCACCCACATTGTCCTGCCCACCTGCTGGCCCACGCCCTTCGGTCGAGCACGGGCCTTACCTTCGTAGGCAGCTGCAGTGAGCAGAGTGGCACAAGCCCTGTTGGCTGGAACTGGAAGGTAAGGCCAATGGCAGGGGAGGGAAATCCGCCCTGGTCTGCCATGCTCAGCCAAAGAGCTGCCTTGAGGGGGTAACAGTGAGGCTTACCCACCTTTTGGGCCTGCCTCTTGGCCTCTGCGGGACCTCCAAGAGCCTGTCGTTCACTCGCCCACCCGCATCCAGGGAATGCACCGCTTCCAGGCCAGTCTGGCTGGAGGGTGCACAAGTGTCAGTGCACCCAGGTGGAGGAGCTGCTCCGGGACAACCAATGGGCCAGTCCTGTGACTAGAGCTCTGGAATATGGGACCAGACGGGCAGCTGGTGGCGCGGCTGGAAATCTCTACCATAGAGGGTGGTACAAAAAAATGGTGTAACCTGCAACGACTAGTGCAGTCTTCACTGGCTAGAGTGAGGTAATGGTGCTGTTGCGGCAAGGAAAGGGTAACGCATGCAGGCTGAAGCAGTGGTGGCGATGCCCGGAGCCTTAGTGTGTGGGAGCCTTTGCGCAGCAATAGCATTCTGCCTTCATTGCAATACATTGGTGCCAGCTGGTGCTGCCAAGGCAGCTCCCACCACCTCGAACTTGGAGCTGTAAGCTGAGAAGCCAATCCAGGAGCATCGCTCAGCCCCTCCCTGAAAGCCAGAATGCTCCCCTCTCACAGCCACCGTGCCCACTGCAAATAGTACTTTCCAGGAGCAGCGGCCTTCCTTTCTCCTGCTCAGCAGCCCCGTTGTACACGATCTGGCAGTCCAAGCCCGTCTAGAGAGATGCTCGGGCAGTTCTGCAACAGCAGGCAGGAGCGACTTGGTGCTTCCCTTGGGCACCCAGGGCTGGCGAGCAGCTTTTCCGAGAACCAGGGGAGGGGAGGCAGGCACACTGGCAGAGGAGATGGGCTTTGGTTGCTCGTTCTGCTGCAACCCCAAGCGACTGGCCTCAACTGTGGCTCACGGGCACTCTGTCCGCCAGGGGAACTGAAGCGGCGAGGCGCTGCCTTCTGCTGACCTTGCTTCCCCGGGCGAAGCTCCAGGAGGAAAGGCTTGCGAGGAGGGAACGGCATGAAGGGAAGCTGCAGGACCGGAGGACTGCAAGAAAATCGCCATCTTCGGTGCCACTGGCATGATAGGCCTAGCCACTCTGGCGCAAGTCCTGGAGATGGGTGAGGCAGAGCAGGGGGCAGCCTGTGAGGCAGAACAAGCAAGGGACCTGTGAAGGGGTGCCCTGTCCCCCCTGCTGCAAAAGGATGTGCTCAGGACACAGCTGCTTCCCAGAAGAAGTGGTGCAATGGCTGACAATTGGAGGGGGGAGAGTACCAAAGGATCATTGCCTTGCACTGTGGCTACTGCAATGAATATGAGAAACCCAACCAATGTTTTGAGTGTGGTTAACATCTCCAACCAATGCGCTTAGGCCACCCTGTTACTATAACCAGCCCTTTGTCCATGACTTGTCCATTAACACTCACCACACCTGTCAATATACCAACTCAAATTACTGCTCTAGTGAACATTGCACATCCAGTCACTATCACCTCACCAATGAATCTCCCAATACCAATGACATTAGCTGGCCTTTAAATATAGCCAAGAGACCCGTGGAAAGAATGTATTTCCTTCCCTAAGCATTGCCAACCTCTACACACTGGTTAAAAAAAAAACTAGAGCAAAAATGTAATGCAATATTAAAAAGAAAAGGGTGTTGCGTTGTATTGTTAATGAATTTTTAAATTGGCAAAATGGACTGCTAAATTGGCCATGCCCACCCAGTCACATGACCTCATAAGGCAAATCAAACTGTAGTCTGGACCCCCCAACAGTCTGCGGGACTGTGAATTGGCCCTGTTTAAAAAGTTTGAGGACCCCTGAATTATAGGTTTGTGGGTATTATTATGAACAGTTTGGAATAAAATCAGAAATATTACAAAGCAGAAAAGAATTAAATTCTTAATGGAATATTCTGCCACATGCTAAAATTATAATTACAAAGGGATGATAGATGAATAAATAGAAACATTCTTCCTCTGGATTCATTGATTTGAAGTTTGAGTAAGAATTATTACGTGCATGTGTGTAAGAAATAGTATAAGTTTTTCCTCTAGAATTTGAATTATGTTTCTCATCCTATCATATTAATTAATTAAAATTAACATTTCTTTTTAGCTCCTTTTTTGTGCCATCCTAATCTCTGGATATGTTATGGAGCAGTAGGATTTATCACTGTTGTAGCACAGTATTTGAATATTGCTGATGTTTATTGCAAACTAATGCCTTACTTGCACTCCTTCATCACCCAGCCAATAATACAGGTAATAAACCAAGTGGCATATTATTATCATTCACAGCAGTGCATTATATAAGAGATCTTAAAATTTGCTTTACATTTCATTTTGTGAAATCTGTTTAGACAAAAATGAGTGGTCACAGCTCGTATAGCTGCAATGAATCTTGCATAACTTTTCTTCAATGACAGTAGTACCAACTGTTGTTGCAACTTATTAAATTTCTCCATTTCTGTATTACTATTTTTTTTTTGGAGATAGAAGTATTAGAATCTGATAATAAAAATTGTGACCACATGCAGCCAATGACTTGTTCACTTTCTCTTTTTAAAATGAAACCAACAGTTGATTATGATTCACAAGACTTTTCAAAGGAAGCAGCAATTCTATGGCATTTTAAGTAGAAAGAGTATTGTAAAAGTAACAAATGGAAGCCAACAGTTAATCTAAAACAGTATTTGAAACCATTTAACTCAAAGTTAATTTTTACACTTCCTCTTTCAAAAGTCTGCCATTGTACTAGATCTCTGGAAGAAGAAAACTTTCTTTAAAAACTGAAATCCTTATGTTTTGTTTCCAATGGAACTGGATGTCTTCCTTGTTTTCTCTCAACTGCAGATAGATAAAGAAATTGTTCTCCTGAGTGTTCTGAAGGAACCTGTAAGCCGATCTATATTTGATTATGCTCTAAGGTCTAAGGATATAGGAAGCCTTTTCAGAACTCTACAGCTTCGTCAGAAAAAAAGAAGTGAGATTCTTTCTGACTGTCCACCTCCTGAAGATCCTGCAATTGCACAACTCTTAAAGAAGCTACTTTCTCAAGTAAATATTTTCGAGTATAATAATAGTAAAGCAAGGCAGAATCTATGGTTACACAAGGATATGAATCATGGCAGTAGCTATGCAACATTCAGATAGATGGGTGGCACTGTCACTCTTTTCACAAAAGCCCCCTTGAATTTATGTTGTGACATACCACTAGTCATTTTTCCAGTACTTCAGTAATGACCTCTAAAATAGCATACCTGTATTAAATAATAGAAATTGCTCTCAGGAAAAAAGAAATCTAGGTTAGAAACTTTGCTTATAGAGGAAGAACACATCCAGACTGCCCTGAAATGTGTTTTTATATTTAAGTATTGCTCTTTATTAATTGGAATTCTTATAAGCTTAAGGTTCAATCAGTGATTAAACTTGTGTGGTTGATAATTTTCTTAAAAGTGATATGTGTAGAAAATCCTTGTGTCAATTGTGTGGAAATATTAAATACTTTAAATAACTGACTTGTATAAATAAAATATAATACTATTAGTTTCCATTAATGAACAAAAATATTTTATTAAACCTATCATACTTTAAAAGTTATAATCTTTTTGACAGCTCTGTTGGATATGTTAGATTACCAAAATAATAATTGGTTATGTGGCTGAGCAAGGCAATCCGTGTCCTAAATTATTTTGATTACTAAAAGGCAACTTATTTTTATTTTTCACTTTGCTTTTGTATTTAGCAAAGGATTTATTAATACATAATAAAATATATAACATATAAAACATATAAAACAAAACATAATTTAGTTCTTGATTTCTAAAATGCACTAAGATTAATTCACTTTGATTCTATTTGCTACACATTATGTATAACTTGGAATTCTCACCTGTTTTTCACCAGTTATGATAATTTCAATACTGTGTTTTGGGAATAGGGAATGACTGAGGAAGAAGAAGACAAGCTGCTTGCCTTACGAGATTTCATGTTAAAGTCCAATAAAGCCAAGGCCAATGTAGTGGATCAGAGCCACCTCCATGACAGCATTCAAAAAGACGTAATCGACTTGGCAGCTTTGGGAATTATTGGGAGACAAGTTGATCTAATTAAAACTAAGCAGGAATCTGATGATAAACGTGGTTAGTATAGTTTCATGATTCACATCTTTTTACTAATTTGTATGTGGGAATATTCCTTAGTGCACCTAGGATTCAGATTTAGTCATGCATAAAGTAGGCTTTCCTATCATTTATACTATTTCCTGAAAATATTACTCAAAGGACAGGGGGATTGTGTTGAATGAGCATCTCTGCCATGGCTTGCCTTACCTTGTCTTTTCAAGGTAATACTACCTTGGCATATACAGGTAGTCCTCGACTTATGATCATAATTGAGCCCAAAATTTATGTTGCTAAATGAAGCATTTATTAAGCAAGTTTTCCCTCATTTTATGACTTTTCTTGTTGTTAAGGTAGCAACATGGTTGTTAAGTGAATCTGACTTTGCTTGTCAGAAGATTGCAAAAGGTGTTCATATGAATCCTGGGACACAGCAGCTGTTATAAATATGAGTCAGTATGAATTCTGATCATATGACCATGGGCTACTTCAGTGGTTATAAGTGAAAAATGGATATAAGTCACTTTTTTCAGTGCTATTGTAACTTTGAATGGTCACTAAATGAACTGTTGTAAGTTGAGAACTATCTGTAATATTCTTCTAGATGTGTCTCATGAAGTGAAAAGCAATAATTAATAATGAATGATTCTCCACCCCTTGCAGTTCAGGACATTGAGCACATAGCTGATGTTTTAATATCTTGTTGGAAATGAAATCAAATTTCAAACTAACAATATGTGGCTTTGTAGGAAATAATATACCATTATGGTTAAGCTAAGTCTATTTTGAATACAAATTAAATAATCTGATGTCTATATGGTTTAACTGCTTTATAAACATGGAGCACCTTTGGGAATTAAGTTGAATGTTTCAGAGTTATTTAATGTTAGGCTGAAACTTTTGTCCAAATTCTTACTTAGTCACTGATTTATTTAAATCAGGGTGGGTAAGTCCATATATGTTTATTCTGCAATGATCCCAACCATTCTGGATTTTTTGCTATACGTCATGTTCAGTCTCATGATAATCCTTCTTTTGGGACTTGCTGATTTTAGCTAGAAAACATGTAAAACAAGATTCAAATGTAAATGAAGAATGGAAGAGTATGTTTGGCTCTTTGGAACCCTCTAGTATACAGCATCCCCTTACCAAAGGCTATGTCCAAACCTCTGACCAGGAAGCTATCCAAACTGGAAAACCTCTTCGATCAGAATCCTCTGCTGGCATTTGTGTGCCTTTATCATCTTCTCCACAGGTATTTGAGGAAATATTTTAATTATTTTTTTGTTTCACCCTTAATATCTTTGATAAAGTATAAAGAGGGTAAATGCCAAATTCTGGTTAATTATGAATCAGATATTGAACTGAAGAACCAAGAGCCATTAGAAGGATCTATTATGCTTTTCCAATGTCATCTTATGATCAATAAACTAGATTCTGAGTCCCTGTTTGATGTAGTTTAGAGTTTCACAGAAGAACTTAGCCATTGATCTTTCAAAACAGTACAAAGTGCAGTTGTATAACATAACATATAACCTTGGCCTTTCGCTAATAATAAATATATATGTGCGTGTGTGTGTGTGTGTGTGTATATATGTATGTATGTATACATATATACACACATACACACACACAAACAAATCTAGGTATTTTACATATGTAACATATAACGTAGGCCTTTCACCAATAAAATATTTTTTCTTGCCTACTTGGTGAACATCAGAGCACATTTTCTCAGTTACTGTGATGAAAGACATTTTTTTCAGAAAACTTGCCAGTATTCATAGAATATTAACAAATGCATTTCTAAATGTCATTGAATTGCTTCATGCAAAGAAAGGCCTTGATGCTCATTCTTGATTGCTTTTGTTTGGATCTTCATATCAGTCATTGTAATTAATGAACCTAGATTCTTGATGCATTTGTTTTCCTGTTATACAAAAATAATGCACTAGCAGGTGAAGCCAAATTGAAGTCAGGAATAATCAGATTTCTAATGCAAAAGCTTAGAAGCTAGCTCTGTTTTTTATTATATATTATGTGATTATCCAGCATGATTTATGTATGGCTTTCAGACAGCAAATGGACAAGCTATCCAAGTCAGAAAACCAACTATACAAGTTATAAGCAGTGTAGTTTCACCCTCTACATATCAACTGCGCATTACTACTTGTAAAACTGAACTTCAACAACTAATACAGCAGAAGCGTGAACAATGCAATGCAGAAAGAATTGCAAAACAGATGATGGAGAATGCAGAATGGGAGACAAAGCCACCACCCCCAGGTAATTCCAGTGTACTTTTAACCATTAGAAAATCTATCAAGGTAACACAACATAGGATTTTAGTCAGTGGTGGTATTCAGCCAGTTCGCGCCGGTTCAAGTGAATCGGTAGCAAGGATTTGGCATGGGTCGCCGAACCGGTAGTAACTTCTGGCTGGCCACGCCCCCAACCTGGTTGCCCGGTCGCTGCTCGCTCGCCCCGTCCATCCAATGCGTCAGCCCGATGCTCGCCCGCCCAGTAACTCCTTAAGGTATTTCTTTTTTTTTTAACCTCCTGACAATCAGCTGTTCCTACAATCAGCTGTGCCAGGATTCCCCTCCTTCTCACTGCTTCACCCAGGAGGTTTCCCTGAGGCCCAGAAAGGCAAAAAATGGAGGGAGGGGGAGCAGCTCAGCAGGAAGGCCCCAAAAATGGGGTGGGGGGGTGCTGCCAAAAAAGGCCTCAAAACTGAGCGTGGAAGGGTGCTGTGTGCCCCTCCTAAGCTCCATTTTTTTTCTTCCTGAGCCCCTGGGGAGCCTTCTGGGAGCAAAAACCACCCCCCAGAGGCTCCCCTGAGGCCAGGAAGGCCCCAAAAATGGGGGGAGGGGGGCTGCCAAAAAAAACCCCATGCCTATGCAATCACATGGTCACGCCCACCTAGCCACGCCCACAGAACCGGTAGTAAAAATTTTTGAATCCCACCACTGATTTTAGTCCTGCTGAGATAACAGCAGATTTTGGAAAAGAGAAATTCTACTTCTTATGTTCTTTCCAATAAAGTCTAAAGTGATAAAATATCACTTCCTTGTTCTAGCTGTAACTTATGTTTTGTGAATGTAATAAGCATTTGCCTAGAAGTTATGAAATTCTCAGATTATCTAATCTTATCCATCAGGCTTTAATAAATCAAGTTAGTACTGTGCTGTATTTATTTATGTTTTTGAAATATGAAAATATGACTATTATTTTAGGTCAAAAATAGGTGGCTTCTTCTGAGCTAAAATAATAGCCATATTTTCATATTTCTGATGTCCATATTTCTGAAGTCCTGTTACCTTTTCCTTTCTTTTTAGATCAAGATCTGAAGTTTTTGAACAAGGATATGTTTTGTAATATATTGTGTTTCCCCAAAAAATAAGGTCTGGTCTTATATTTTTGGGGGCTCCGAAATAAGGGTTAGGGCTTATTTTTGGGGAAACACGAAATCCGGGTGATCAGCCTGGCTGGGCGCCCTAGTCCCACCCCCAATGCGTGCATAAAAGGCAGCAAGCACACAGGGTCTGACGGTGTTTAGCAGCAGCCACAGCCCCCCGGCCCCTTGATCGGCACACTCTGGGGCTGTGCAACTTGCAGAGCACTAGTGAGTTGATTACCTCTCTAAGCAGCAGACAGAGGCAGAGGCACAGAGACAGGTGATCCAGATGCATTGCACAGGTCACAGGCAAGCCTAAAGCCTCCTGCTGTCCACCCACTTTGTCCCACCATCTCTCAGCTTGCCTGCAGCCTGCATGGTGTGTTTGGATCACCTGCCTTCCCCTGCCTCTGTCTCTGCCTGCTGCTTGGATAGGCAATCAGCAGGCTGCAGCTGCTGCTGGACATCATCGCCCTCGCTGACTCCGATGCTGCCACAGCCACCCACACACCCCCTGGCTGATGACGACCTTAACTGGAGCTTATTTTGTGGGTAGGGTTTATATTAGGAGCACACTAACAATCAGCCTGGAGCTTATTTTCTGGTTAGGTCTCATTTTCAGGGAAACACAGTAACAGTAGTTACCTCTTTATATTATCTAATCTTAAGTATTAAAAGGTATGGCAGAGTACTGACTTCCTGATAATTACAATTGGCATTTATTTGGATATTTTTGAATTACTTATTAAATTTTCTACATAAAAACATTGGCTTAATATTGTCTGAAATGTTATCATAAGAAAACTTCAAAGTATATTATAAGATTAAAATAATCTACAATAAAATCTCAAAAAATTATGAAAATGATTGCCAGCTATTAAAAAAAACAAAAGTCTAGGTGATATAAATTTTTCTTAATTGCCATTTTGCAACTAGTTAAATGAGTTTCTTGTATTAAAAAGTATTCATAGAAATAGTCTTTAGTTCACTGAGTGAAATAGTTTTCTTCACTCAGTAATGATTTCAACATTCAACATAAGAGCCTCTGTGGCGTAGTGGTTAGAGTGCAGTATTGCAAGCTGCTTCTGCAGCCAGCTGCCTACAATTTGGCAGTTCAAATCCCACCAGGCTCAAGGTTGACTCAGCCTTCCATCCTTCTGAGGTGGATAAAATGAGGACCCAAATTGTTGGGGGCAATATGCTGACTCTAAACCACTTAGAGAGGGCTATAAAGCACTATAAAGCAGTTTATAAGTCTAAGTGCTATTGCAACATCTATGTGGACTGATTTTAATTGGTGATAAAAAACAGCCAAAGACATGTTTATATTTATATTTTGCAACTGAAAAATAGTATCTTAAGCACATATTAATCCATATGAAACTTCTGATATTCCAAGAAGAAAACCATATGCATAAATGGTCTTAGAAAATTAAAGATACCCAGCATAAATTGTGACAATTATTGACTAAATTATTTTGAATTATAAAATAATTTTTTAAATTATTTCATATATTATTATAAAAGTTTTTCAAAAGCGGCATGTATCAGAAATTTATAATTCTTATTTCATGCTAGTTTAAAATGTGTAAGCTGCTTTTGTTGATGTAGGAGCTGTTCTGCATAGAATCATTTTTGAAAAGATAAAATTGCTATTAGTTTGCCCTCCATATGTGCTACATTGTCAACATGCAATTTGAGAATACCTTTGTAAGTTTGAAGCCTCTAGAAGAAAATTATAGAATACAGGAAGATAGTGAACCTACAGTGGTGAGAGAGTTTGTGAATTTTATAGAACTATCCATGCCCTGCAGTATTTGACATACACTGACATAATGAGTCTTATTAAAGTTATTCTAGTTAAGCAAATCACATTCTGAACTATAGACTGCATCATATCTTTAATGAACACATTCACTACCTTGTTAGAAAAATTACATGAAGCCTTAAGTTATTCAGCTTTCAAGAGTGTCAGTTAAATCAGATGTTTTAGTTAATGAGATAACAGCCATAACTTTTAGAAATTCTGCCCTACTAAAATAGACATGTTGATTGCGGCTATGAGAGTCTGCGCTTCCTGATACAGGGTTGTAAAAGTGAAGTGAAGTGATAACACAGGGCAATGCAGAAAAACAATTTCCAAGGCTCCTACAACTAGGAAGGGCAGTAAAACTTTTGCCACAGACTTAGGCCTTCACCAATTTACCAAAGGACAAAAAGTGTACAAATAAAGAAAATGCAGTATCATTATTATTCTTTCTAATGGTTATCCAACAAAAATTATTCCAAAGACAAGATATGCAGTCTTCAGAAGGATTCAAAAGAAGTCAGGTCTATGAAAAAGTGCTTGCAGGTCTTTTATGTCAGTGTTTGTGAAACTGTCATAAGATTATTGGGCATGGGAGAATACAAGAAGTAAACCATCGTTCTTGAGAAATTATATGCTGCTGTTTCAGGTTTCTCATGATTTGGTAAGCCACTGCAACAATGTCCTATAGATAGATGAAAGTGGAACATTCTGGCATTAAAAAATGTTATTTGAGAAAAATAAAACACTGAATTACACAAAAAGAACTTCATTGCTACTATGAAGTTGTGGTAGAAATATAATGGACTGGGGTTAGTTTGTAGTCTCAGGGCTCAGCTGGCCCTGAGACCTTTGAGGGATAAGAGTTTTGATTGCACCAGGAAATTTTACAGGATAATATTGGGATATCTGTCCGTGAGGTGAAATTTTAAAAACTGTGGCTAGTGCAACACAAGAACAATCTTAAAAATACAAATAAGTCTACAATAAAATAGCCAAAGAGAAGGGTACAATAAAAATTTAGAAGAGTACAATAAAATAGCCAAAAAGAAGTGTCTGAATTCAGATTTTGAGTTTTGAATTGAAGCTTGAGACATGTAAAGAAATTAGTTCCTGGAAGATAACGCCAAAATGTCAATGGGTTGAAACAGTTTTAAAAAGGAATGAACCAAAATATCTCCAAGTAAGAGATTGATCAACAGTTACAGAAAATGTTTGGCTAAAAATCATTGTTGCTAAAAAAAAGGTGTTACTACATATATTTATTCCAACAATGAATATAATTGAACAATGAAATTTGACTCCATTATAGCTCTAATTGAGCTATAATTCATATATAATGTGTGTTGTTGGTTTATATATGAACAGGACTTGGGTGAAATTTAGATTAAATTACATGGCACAAAACAGGTAGCTGTCATTTAGTGACCACAATTGGGACTGGCAATGTGGTTGTTAAACAAAGCAGTTGCTAAATGAAAATCATGTGAGTGCAACTGTGCTTATAATTTTCTGCAGCTTTTCTTTGTTTTACAGCATCAAAAGGAAATGACCCCCAATAGCCCAAAAATTTAAACAATAGGGAAAGTTTGTGGAATAGGCAAACTTTGTTGCAAGGAAGCCAGATAAAAGGGCAAACTTTTTGCCTACTCCCTCGCCATTTGGAATGATGGTGGGATAATTAACAAGAGAATTGATATTTGATTTACATTCATTGGACAGGAAGAGACTGTAATAAGTGATCTAGCAGGTACACAATGGGGTACACACTGAAAAGAATGTGCTAGTGCCAGCTGCTTGCCTAGCAGGGTTGTAAGCTGTTTGGAAGACAAACAAAAGCCTTTAATATGAAATTGATTAGGGTCTTGTTTATCTCGAAACAGCAAATGTGAGCTCATTAGAGGGTTCTGAATGATTATAAAGTCACAGACTTTGTTTTTAGCACTTTTTACAGATGTGCTGCACTATGGAGAAAAGCTGCTCAGGAAGGCATAGCTTATTTAGGCAATCTCTTCACTTGGCGAGGAGGAGAGAGGAAAAAATGGGTCAGGCACAAGGCAACTTGTGGGCATTGATTGCAGA